ACAGTCTCTTCTACCATTTCACTGGCTCTTCCACAAATCTCTGAGAACAGCCTTAGTTTCAATCTGCGAATATCTCACCATCCACAAGTTGCCACCTCTAAAACTAGGAAAAAAGAAACAGGAAGCCCAAKTTAGATGGCTGTTGGCCACGTCATTCTGCAAGCGCAGCCCTGCAGCACARCCTGAGGGCCTGGACAGGGAGGACTTTTGGTCAGAAGGTAACATGATGTAGGAAAACAACCAAGAATGAAGAGAATAAGGGAAGCATGATGGAAGAAAGCCTTTCTGTTAGCACAAGGGGTGCCCAAACAAAGACCCTTCACAGCCTGCCAAGATGACCCAGTTTCACCCTTTTCCCTCCTCCAAAAGGCCACGTACAAGGCTGGCGCTCCCAAACATCTCTTTTGAGGTCAGAATAATTATGGCCACTGTMATTATTTCCAAAGTAACTGGAGAGCAGTTGGAATCTGCTTCTACCTGTTGGCACCTTGTTACCTTGGCAAAACTGTGGAGAGCACRCATAAAACCATCTGCATTTCGACACAGTGGGAGTTCATAGCTACTAATCCACCTGGAAAGAAATACCAGTCCCAATGGACAGCTGCCTGCAAGTCAGATCCTTCAAATGCAATCTGCAGTGCAAGTGAATCCATTAAATAAAGAGCTGTGCATGTGGGGTGAGAGGACAATCTAACCAGGGTACTGAGACAGGGCAAAAYGCCTTCTCTTGCATAGGGAACACTGCAAGAAATGAAACAGCCCTATGAAAACAAATGGGGGATTAGTTAATTAAAAAACAAAGAAACCCAAAGGAAACCAGCAGTCTGGAACATGAAAAAATAAAAAAAAAAAAACCCCATACAACCCAATAGCAATTAGCAGATTTTTTGAATTTAAAGGCGACAAGTTGTTTGTTTTTAGGACAGCAAAACAAGCATTGCACCTCGTGCTGCTGTAGTCAGGAGGAATCACGTTTGGGGTATGGCAGGTATTGATTCACCTGGTCTTTGCACAGATGAAGATGGAGGGCACGGTGAGAGGCCAGACCCCGAGAAGGACAACTGGGGCACCCTGATGTAACCCACCCCCTTCCAATGCCTGCAGCRCTAGGAAGCAGTTTTCCAATACAGAGGTCTAATGGAAAGTACATTTAACATCAACAATCCAGCTCCTGGCAACCAGCCTAGCATTTAAATTACATTTCATATGAACAGTATCCAAATGAAAAAGTGCACAAGTGGCTTTTAAATGGCACTGGCTCTGTGTTTCCCTCTTACTAGCTTATTTGTCAGCTCCATTTAGTGATTGTATGAAAGGTACGTTAAGGATAAATTGTAAGAGATTCCATTCTTGCTCGGTTTGCTTCCAGGAAAAGCTTCCTCTCTGGTTTGCCCTCGCACTTCACCAGGTAKCTCCATCAGGCTACAGTAACAGCTGAGTGGGAACAAGAGCTGCCTCCACCTTTTCCGACAAATGCTGTTCAAACCTACTTTAATTTCCAAAATGCAGGGTTAGGCAGAAGCAAATAGCMCAGCTTTGTGCTGTAAAAGGAAAAGCTAAAATCCACTCCTCTGTTCAAACCCATTTCCTTAAGAGGTGTCCCAGACTCCAGGAGACTCAAGGTCCTTGGGAAGAGGTGCACTTCCTCATGTTTAGTTGARTGGCTGTCACGCACCTCCTGCACAAAGCAACTCTGCTGCTCATGTGGCTGAARCCACCAGATCAGGCAGTTCTGTGCACTGAACAGGGGTTTGGATGAACAAGCATTCAACCTTCCTGAGCCAGGTATTCCCTCCTCCTGGGATCCTCCAARCCCTCCAAAGGTCTGAAATCTGCCCAGACCCACTGTCTGTCCTGCCTTCTCGGCAAAACCATAATGGATATGCACATTTTCCAGGTGACTCTGGTTTCAGAAACCAGGATTTGATCAGCTCTAAAGGCTGTAGTCAGGCTGACAATTTTTGCCTCAGAGGCAACATCCTTTGTGAAGCTTCAGTCATAGATCTGTCCTTGCTGCTCTGTCTCCACAGAACTCTTAAAAATGCACCCTCACACCCACACRGGATTGCATACCAGGATTTCCCTTCCTCAGACAAATTTCAATGTCTCATCAATTCTTATCAACACAAACCTCTTCAGAAACAGTATCCATCACTTGCTGCCTGCAATACACTGCCCACTGTCTGTSCACATGTTCTGCATGGCAGAAGTATGAAGCTGACATAGTTCCTACGAAAAAAGCATCAGTGGAAAATAAGAATCAAATCCAATGCCCTGCTACTGTTACTACATGAACTGCAACCTTATGGGGAAAAAATTGTCAAGTTATTCAGACACCTGATGAAAGGTTTTAGAAACATATACTTAAAACACCAGGGACTAATAATTATGAAGATGGAAAGCACCACAACCACAGCACTTGTTGCTGACCCACCAGGTGAGATTCTGCCCAGGTACAGCAGAGACTGTGGCAAAACACACCAAAAAGTAAAGTYCTTCACATAGAAATAATTTCAAAAAGAAGCATTAACATCTTGATTTCAGGTTCTGAAGGCTTTTGTATACAATGCTCCTGTTCAAGTCTTTGTACAATATGTTGCCTTAGATAATTCCAGAAATACATTACTATAGTTTGCTATTAAAGTGGTGTATTRACTGTTTAAAGGTGCAACAAATACCAAAACAACAACAACAAAATCAATGAAAACATCTGACTGTCAAGTTAAACTAAACCTACAAATAATAGTTAAAGCAAGCAGCTTTGYTGGTCTAACTGAGACGAGAATGTGAAACAAATAGTATGACTGGCAAGAAAATTAATAAGCACAGATAATACATGCATATGTTATTCAGATGGTGTTCTGGCAGGATTCCAGCCATGGAACAGCAGGAGTCTTTCAGGACAACTTGCCCAGCTCTGAAACACTGGTGGAATAAGTGGAAGATACTACCTAGAGCACATGATGGTTTTCTAGCACCTGAAGCAGAAGCACACCGGCAGCAGCACACAGCTCCCAAGGCACAGTTGCTATRTGCAGACAGGAATACAGGCATTTTCTACAGCTGATATCTCATTAYYCAGAGAGAGATTTCCATGGTAGGCTGGAAAATGGAATGAGACTAAGATTTCTCCCTGCCTTTCATGTTTTCTCACTTTTTCTACTTTTCCACATCCTTCACGTGGTTCTAACATGATACATTTCTTTGCCTGTAGGGCATGTGCAATCCTCTTTAATGGCTGCTTGTCATGGGACACAAGCCAGTTCCTCCCATACCAGTGGTCACCAAACCAAGAAAGCCTTTGCCTTACCTTGCCAGGGGCTGAAGAACTTTTACACTTCAGGGGACTGCCTGCAATAACCGGTAAGACCAAATAATACTTCAAGAATACATTATACTCCTAGTGTGGAAATATCTCTGATATGTAAGTGACAGAAACAGCAGCTTTTGCTCAGCAGTGGTGGTGCCTGGYATAAGGAATACAACAGACCAGATGCTTCCAAGGAGGCCCATCCAACAGAGCCCTCTGCAATCCCAACGGCTGTGGGCAGGCACTGGAGCACAGCACTGCTCCCTCCCAGGACAGTGGGGCGGTGGCACTTGCACGTAAGGAGATCCCAGCTGGGAAAAGCTCCCAGGACACAGCTGTGAGGGTAACCCAGCATTTGCCTGCCCCTCAGCACGGGTGTGAGGCCAATCACTACACCCCAAATCCTGGGGAAGGCAGCATCTCCATGCTGGGAGGAGCAGGCTCGGAAGCTCCCAGGCTGCCTGCGGGAAGCCAAGCTGCTGCCGGCAGGATGCCAGGCCTGGCAATACTGACCGTCTGCTTGAATGACTCGGGCTCCTTCCTATCTTTYCCTATTCCCAGAAATGACAGTGCTATTTTCTACTCATTGAGCCATTGGGTTTGAGGTCAGAAGCAGGAAATTGAGAAAGACAGGATACACAACCAAGAGCGTAGAAAATATCAATACTAACAGCAGCACACGAACCTGCTCATTCAAGRCTCCAGTGCCCATGAGAAGTTCTCAGGGGCCCCTGAAAAGCTTCCAGYTGTGCCACAGAGAGATCACAAACAGGACAGGAGAAATGCAGGCCTGTTTCTTGAATATCCAGAGTTACACAAGCTTGCTCTGCACTCGTAGAAAAAAATCAGGTAACATATTCATCCAATCATGCACAGAGCTACCCTGAGAACAGGTAGCTCCTCTGTTCACAGCACACAAAGCCCTCCAGGTACTTCTCTGTCATCCCAGYGCAATGCTGTGATCAGGAACATCTCTGCTTACACTCACAGAACACCTCTGGTTTTCTGAGCAGCAAACCACTGCCAATTTTAAATGTAACATGGACCTGGGGGGACACACAGCAGCACAACAGCAGAGCTTTCTGCTCTGACTGACACCAGGGCACCACCTTGCAGGGTCTACTCAGCCCGCACAGAGCCCCCACCCATGTTAGAGCCACTCCTTTACATGACAGCCTCCTCTTCRACCTCTGCTGCAAGGACACCCACCAGCCTCTGCAGATTATCAGTTACAGCTCTCACACCATTCAGGGAATGACAAATCAGTGTTTAACAAAGATGGCCTTTATAGCASATGAATAAGGAGCAGAGTGAAGCAGACTTGGTGCTGCAGAAGTTCCCATGCTTGGTAAAACCACTATTCTGCGCAATAGAAGATTATTATCTAACATGTACATTAATCCCTGAYTGTCCCCAAAAAGCACTGAAATACGATCAGTAAATTTTAAAAACTCTCAGTGTTTTCAGCCTCCTCCTCAGTCTACCTGATATAGTAATATTATTATTATCACCAAAAATTTCTAGGAAGAGACACTTATTATTTAAGCAACTGATGAAAAATACCCCTTCCCTAGCACAGCAGCACTTCCCACACCTTGTATCCTATCACTGTATTTACAGAGCACAAGAAGGCAGCTGCTCAGCACAGTCATTATAACTCACCCACACTTACTACCTTACCCAGTCTTACCCTATTTACAATCAGGTTGTTCACAGACGTCCCGTAGTAAAGGCATCAAAAGCAAAAGCAGCTCTTGCTTTCCTTTCAGATAAAGCTAAACACCAGTCTGGGATGAGTGGGGCAGATCTTGGCACTACCCAGGACAGAGAGGGTCTGCCCACTGCCATCAAAAGGGGTGGCAGATCTATGCGGCTGAGGAGAGGAGACGAGTGCTCTCCTTCCCTCATTCTCCTGTTTCACCATGACATTTAATTATCCAAATGAGGTCTCCTCAGCTATAGGGACAGGAAACAAATCCAGGACAACCACAATGGCTTTTAAATAGACACTGCAGCACTATTATTTTTACTCCGAGTGTTACCATACCTTTCGTTTTACACTAAATAAGCTTCAGCATTAGTACCACCCGTTCCCACCTGCTTTGGGCGTCCGCCCTCCTGTCGCCCCTCGGTGCATGAACAGCCTCAGCCGGGCAGCACCGCGCTCCCCGTGGACAGGGCAGTGCCGGGAGCCCCGGCCCCGCTCCGCCGCGCCAGCCTGGAACTGTTCAGGGCACTTTTCGGACAACAACCGCACGGTGGGCGCTGTCACGCAGGGCTGGGGGACGAGCCTGGGGAGGTTCACGGGCCCCTGCTGCCCCGATCCCCCCGGAGCGCTGTCCCTAGAGCTGTCCCTAGCGCTGTCACGCACCGCGGGCTCSCAGGGACGGGACGGGTCCGGCCCCTCACGCCGAGAAGCCTCGCTCCTCATCCTCCCCATCCTCCTCATCTTCATCAGTCCTGCGCGGCCCCACGCCCGGCCCCGCTCCCCGCCACCCGCCGCAGCTCCCACCCGCCCAGAGCCGAGCCGAGCCGCACGGAGCCAAGCCAAGCCGAGCCGAGCTGAACGGAGCCGAGCCCGGCCCGGCCCGGCCCGGCCTGAGCGAGCAGCCGCCGCCATGGCCCCGCAGCCCCTCACGGAGCCCCGGTACCTGCGCCCTGCGCGTCTCGCGCCGCCGCCCGCACCTGCTGCGCACCCCGCGG